AGAAGAAGAAGAAGAAGAAGAAGAAGAAGAAGAAGAAGAAGAAGAAGAAGAAGAAGAAGAAGAAGAAGAAAGAGGCTTAATAGCAGTGATTGTGAGAGGGATCTTGGAGTCTTAGTGGACAACCAGCTAAATATGAGCTAGAAGTGTGTAGCGGCAGCCAAAAAAGCCAATGCAATCCAAAGTTGCATTAACAGAGGGATACAATCAAGATCAAGGGAGATACTAATACCACTCTATAAAGCCCTAGTAAGACCACACTTAGACTACTGCATCCAGATTTGGTCACCACACTATAAAAAAGATGTTAAAAGACTAGAAAAAATGCAGAGAAGAACAACCAGGATGATGAGGGGACTGGAGGCTAAAACATATGAATATTGGTTACAGGAACCAGGCATGGCTAGTCCAGAGAAGAGAAGGAACAGGGGAGACACAATAGCAGTCTTCCAATATTTGAGGGGCTGCCATAGAGAGGAAGGGGTCAAGCTATTTTCCAAAGCACCTGAAGGCCAGACTAGGAGTAATGGATGGAAACTGACCAAGGAGAGATTCAACCTAGAAATAAGGAGGAACTTTCTGACAGTGAGAACAACCAACCAATGGACCAGCTTTCCTTTGGAAGTTGTGGGGGCTTCATCATTTCAAACTTTCAAGAAGAGACTGGACTGCCATTTGTCAGAAATGGTGTAGGATCTCCTGCTTGAGCGTAGGGTTGGACTAGATGACCTATAAGTTCCCTTCCAACTCTGTTAATCTGTTAAATCTGTTAAATTTGCTTTTCATATCATTTCATGATGTTGTTTGGGGAAAAAACTCAAGAGTCATTTAGGGCGAGACGGGCAATGTAGAAATTTGGTAAATGAATGAATAAAATCAAGGTTAGGTGCTTAGTCTGGGGTGACTCATCACTGAGTCCTTGCTAATATTCTCTCGAGGCCGGAACTGTTTGACTAATGATGACGCTTCTCTGGTTACTGACCTCCACCTGGTTTATCTTGAGTTGGCCCCAGGACTTCATTGTTTGACTTGATGGCTTCTATTGGACTTTGCTTACAGTAGAGATAAAAAGGTAAAATCCAATGGCTTGAGCCAATGTCAAGAATATTGGAGTTTTCAAGGCTATGGCTTCAGCATTGCACATTTTCTAGATGGTCACCAAAGTTGAAACGGTTTTCGGTCAAGCCAACTTTATGCTTGCTTTTGGATTTGTGGGCTGGCCCTACATTATGGGGAGGGGTTTCCCATTTTTAAACTTGTGTTTGTTTCCTGTTGCGAGGACTCTCCGGTTTCAGCAGAGTCACAGAACTTCACTGAGGTCAACATATCCTATCCAGCTCTGATCTTGCATCTTCAGCCATGAAATCTCTAGGGATCGTCTGTCTTCTTTTCATTTTTGTAGCCAGAGGTAAGGAGATGATGTTGCAGAATGTCCTACACAAATGGGTTCCGAGTCTTCTGTTGCCTTGTTTTCAATTTCTCCATCTTCATCAACATGCCATCTGCTTGGAGGCAAGCAGGAATTTATGTAATCATCTGGAAATAGGGATGCAAATGTTGCGCAGCTTCTAGCTGCACTTAAGCAAACCTCGGTTCCTTATAGTTCTGACCACCCGGTCTTGAAGAGATGGAAACCTTGAGAAGCTGAGTTTTATATAGACATCCTTATGAGTAATATATAGCTTCCTACTCCTGCTGTCACATCCAGTTCAGGCCTAATACCTAAGTAAGTTTTAACTTTTAAGGTTTGAAGGCAGCTTAATGACCGATAACTGCCAATTACCTCCAATAGACCGATTAGATCCCACAGATTAGGCCTCCTCTGAATTCCATCCGCCGGCCAATGCC